ATTGCCAATGGAAGATTGAACGTAAAGAGAACAATATTTCTTCTTTATAAAAATAAAATACGAACAACAGATAACGACCTGCACTGAATCGTGATTTTAATTGTCAGTTGAGTATTCCATTCATCGAACAATAACAAGTAAATTAGTTAACAATAATGAATAAAATAAATACAGGGAAAAACTAAGTTTAATTAATTTCGTTTAATGAAATGTTTAACCAACATAAAACCATTACTAAGTACTAAATAAAATGCAACACTAATTAAATACACAACAATTCATATTTAAGTATTAAAAAGATATCTTTCTTGTTAGATTTGTGAAATTTACGCGACAATTTTATCTGTACTACAAATTTTCAAATTTGTATAATATGTAATGGTTTCTATGAAATACAATTCTTAAACGTTAAATCAGTATGTATATTTTATTTGCATATACGGTTAAATAAAACAAGTACATGTAAAAAATTTTTGAGAAAGTATTCCTAATAATCTTCTTCATATTTTTCAGAAAGTAATCTAATTCTCAAAAGAACAATCTAACGTCACAATATATTGGAAACAGTTCAGGTTTTAAATATATATTTTCTTCCGTGGGAGGAATTGCAATGACCTCATGAAATGGAGTGAAACGATCTGCAGATGGTTTGATTTCTATTTTGTTTCTTGGAATTATTTCCATTTTGGAAAAATCTAACGATAATTTGAAACGTTGTAAACTTTTCAATATAAAGTCCAACTCTTAACTTGACACATCCGTTCATTTTGCGTGTCAGAAAATTTCTTTCGTTTAAATGTCTGCCATTAATCGAAAAATATAAATTTGCTTCTATTCCACGTCGTTTATTATGGGTTATTGGTAGACGAATGCTTGTCATAAAACAGTTTTCGTGAACAAATATTTCTGATATAAATTGTATATTTTTAGTCACGAATCTTTGTATTTTAATGACCGATGGGTATCGATTGCAGTAAGTGAATAATAACGGATATTGATAAAAAGTCCTGGTTTTTATGGACTTGGAAATATTGTCAGGGACACGCGACAAATTGTCTGTTACGAAAAACAGCTTTATTGCTTCCAGTTCTTTTTCAGTTAAGACGAGTGAAAAATCATCGAACTCAAAGATTTCATTTTCCATTGTCAAAAATCTGATTTTTGGTAAGAAAGGTTTCATGAGTTGTCTTAGAGATTTCTTCTCACTAAGTTTGTTCGTGGCCCATTTGTAGGTGATATCGAAGATACTCTTTTCATCTAAATGTTTATTAATTGGGCGAGATACAAGTTTGTCTATTGTTCTTCTTTTCAATTTCAAGTATACTTTCTACAAAATATTTGAATTTACTTTGCATCGAACATTCTCCAACAACTATATATAACGTTACGTCTGTAGTCGTCGATTTCGGAAGCAAAGTCGTGTACGGAACAGACATTTTCTATTCGTAGCATATCAGTAATATGAATATGACAAAATTTATTTACACCAATGATACGTAGTCTTGTTACTTCTTAAAATATCTATTGCAGCTTTTAAAGATGGGAACATTGATACTTTACTGTCCAACAGTCTAAATGTAATGGAAATACAATTGTCACAAAAATATTTGCTTTATGAAATATATATACAGTACTATTAAAGTAGCCTCGTGTGTCTGCTTGCAATTCGCTGTTGCAACCGCGTTGACTCACACCTTAATAAAATGGTTTGTATTTCTTATATCGTTTTGTTTAATTTTTAAAANGTTATTTACAAGATTACCCGTTTATCTTCTAGAGTATATTTTTCCTATTGTCTTGAAAATAATAAGTATAAAATGATAACACGTAACCCGACTTCAATTCGTTCTTATAGGGCATTTAAGTTTCAAAGCAACTTTCTGAGTTTACCAAAGGATAAAAATCATTGAACAGTGGTAGTTGGTCGTGGGTTTGCGACTCGCCAAGGGAATGCCCACGCAGAGTTTCTGATTTTCTTCACGTTGTAATACCTAAATAGGGGCCAGGTATTTATAAAAGATTTCTTTCGGAAAATTGCCAATGCGACGCATTGCCGTAAATAAATAAACCAAAGCAAAGCAATTTTACCTTAAAGAATAATGTAACAACAGTACAGCATCACGTCTACTCGTACTATTCATCATGCACCATACAGTATTGCTATATTTATTTGTATTCGAATTTCGAACCGTTCGAGTTCCGCGATACCTCTATATATAAATCTTCATTTGGATTTAGACGAAACTGCCATTTCACATTAATTACAATGAGGGATTCAAAAAGTAATAAAAAAAAATGTATGTCTATGACTTCGATTTCAAGATAGGATGGAGTAAAAGTGACATTGCCCATGATTACTGGCCGTAAATAAACGTGCCTAATGAAATTATTAATGATAAAATATTAGCACGCACGCCGAATGGAAAATGGATGCCTAAAACGAAAAAAACACAAGAACAAAGTCATTTACTCTGATTACTTCGTTTTTTGGAGAGTTTCTTCGTATCCTGAAGTGCAAGAATTGCCTCTCTGTAAAAGACTGATGCGATGATAGCTTTTATCGTGGCAGCAAATGCAAGGTTCGTCTGTGTACAACTGCCAAGTGCAAAGAACTACTCTGACGTTGNTGAGTAAAATTACTATAAAATTATATACCGCAAACATAAAGATATTCACAGCTCTCCTAATGTCTACTTCTGTTAACATTCTCTAAAAGGCGAATACAGCAGATCGAGATAACTAAGATGGCAAAATTTTAATTTATGATAGTATGATTTCTATATACGAGTATATCCACAACGACGAATATCAGAGTCAAGAAGTAACTAAGTATCTGAAAAATAAATGTCATTAAAACACATAAAAGTTGTAAAATAATTAAGAACAAATACAAAAATAAGATGACGTTAATAATAATAAATATAACAAATTTATGTTACTATTAAAATCAATTATTTTTTTCGTATAAAGACTTACATTTTTAATATTTTTAAAAAATTAATTTTTTGATGTAATCAGTTTTTCTGTGTAGAAGCTACAAATAATAATTGTTAGCTCATACTATACAGAACCCAGTGGATTTAAAAGTGTCTGCTGGATGTGATGTACTGTACTGTACATTCCTCAGATGTATTAATAAAGTAACACAAGCATAGAACTAGTTGCTTAATTTTTCAAACAAGATTTAAAACCTCGCCTGAAATATTATTCTTATAAAATTTTATTTTAATAACATTTTTATATTTTTAACTGTTATAAAATGGCAAAACTCTTAATTTTGAAAGCAGGGATATAATTTATAAAGAATTGTAAATGCTAATATCGAGTAAAATTGTCATTAAGTCCGACCCTACTCGAGATATAAAACACCACCCCCTCTAACTTCTTATCCATGATTCGTTAACCACGAAAATTTAACATAATGAATTACTCTAATACAGAAACCTCCTTGTAAAATTTCGAAAATATTCCACAAAAAGCACAGAAGATATTAAGCATCGAAGAGGGTGAACAAAACCAAACCGTAGTCCAAACACACGCACACTAACATCCATGCATACAGAAATCCCGAATTTGTTTGCATTTCTCGATGTTTCAAGGTGCCCCTAGTCCAGAAATGTCATTTTTCCTTTATAAAATCATTTATAGAATCTAAGTAAATTAAAATTGTATTATTTAGCAAAATCACTTTACAAAAATAATACAAAACAAAGGCCGTGTATTGCCACAAGAAGCCACGTGTAACAGGTTCCAAACGTTCTAATCTTGCGCCAACTGCTTTAAAATAGTTTTAAATTGTAATTAATAATTTATATTTACATTTACTTTTAATTTTAAATTTTTAGTCAATACTTCCGTATGATGGAGTCTTTATCAGAAATATAAAACCAACGGAAATTGGTGATTAGGTCAATTAAAATTGGAAGTAGAAGCGGAAAGAGTTGAAGTTCAACACGAAAACAAGTTGGTAAGTATTCGTTTTCTATAAAACAATTTCATAAACTCGATCGAAATAAATATGTTTGGAGTCCTTTCAGCGTGGTTTTTTTATGATAAATAATTACATTTTTTAAATTTTAAACGTATGAAAGAAATATCATCGTAAATGGATGGGTAAGCCCACTGTTTGTTAACTTTGTGTTGAGTTTACTTCAAAATTCAAATCGTTAATATTTAAATGTATTTGTTATATCGAAGAGAATATATTAGAGAAATTTCTTCTGTTTGTTTCCTTAGCTTTAGTGACAGTAACAGCGTAATAGCGTCATTTGTTTCCAACTTTTCTTTCTCAACAATATAATTAGACGTTAACGTTATTTTTAATTAGTCGAATTACGTTCTGTAATTTCATAGTAATTTACATCGGCGTTTTCCAATCTGTGGGGCTTCTGACTATTGTAAGGTGGCTCGCAACTTTTACCATATTACCATTTTTTAATAGAAACAAACTAAAAAAGTCAAATCGATAACGAACAAATAAATCAGAAAATCGGTTATGCTTAATTTACGACCCTCGTCCGAACAACTTAAGCTAAAAAAACCATTTATACACTTGCCGAAACGTCTCGACGATAGAACAATATACTTTATTTTAAAAGCTATTTTGTCCCGTAGACCATTAAATAAATTATAAGGACACGTTAACGCTAGGATCTTACAAATCGTAAAGCTAAATTTAATAGAATCTGCTTATTGTAATCACGGAACGTGTTGCCAGTGGTCGAAAGAATCGGAATTTCAGTACTAAAGTAATATCATCGTTAATGAAAACCACAATACAAAACTACTGGTTGCTCTGTGTGTCTGTGTAATATGAAACTTACTAATATTACATTGATTAGAGAAAATATTAACAATAATATACTATTGTATAGTTATATGGAGAGGTAAATTCTTCATCCAGGTATCGAATATAATAATTATTCTCGGTAAACATATCTCACAGTCGGAAAATGACCAATTGATACAGCCAAGAACAATTATAGGTTTGAANCCCTTAATTTAATTTCTTTGTGAGCTCGAAGCATGAAATTCGGAGTGAATACTCTTTCTTTTAAATTACATAGAAAACGTTCAGGAAATTTATCACTACCAAACAATCCCAATAAAAATAACAATATTTGATCTGTGATCCAAGTTGAAAAATTAGAAAAATCGTTGTATATAGTGTAAGTTACAAGAAATTCCCGAAATGTGATATGCAAAAAATGATAACGAATGATTTTATCGTATTGTGAAAAAGATTCCACTGCAAGAATGTCCAATCCAATGATGAAATTATATTCATCTTCGTTTGGAAAAAACTTTATTAAAGCCTCTGATGTGATCGAATTAAGTTTTAGAAATAATGTTTTCTATCGAAGTAGCAAATTTTCTCCCATAAAATGTTTTCCTCGTTCGAACTTGCAATTCTGATCTGTTTTTCTAACATAACGTTCGGTTACAAGAGTAAACATTCGGATGTATAAATCCGTTGTGCTTTTAATTTCTCCCAATTCTGCATTATTAAAAAGGCAGCACAAAATGTGCAGCATCAGAGGACATTCGGCTATTTCTTTGTAGAACTCGTCTTCCTCCACTTTCTCAAGAAGACTTCTCGCTTTACTCTCGTCTTCTCTAAACATTAACTGAATACATTTCTTCTGATATTCTGGAGAAAATCCTTTTATCGAAAACCTCATCTTCATGTCTTCTCTGATTTCTTCCGTTGCTTGGGGTCGACTGGTTACCACAATCGTCATTTGACTAGAAATATCGTAAGATTCCTCCCTTATAAATTTTATAATTTTACTTTTCTCTACAATCTCATCGAACCCGTCCAAAATCACCAAAATGTTCAGTTGCCTAAAATGTAATTTCCAATCTTTATGAAATGACGAATTATCGTGCAAGTTATCGAATAATGCTTGTTTTACACTTTTATCTCCTAACTCTCTTAAAACAATACATGCCGTTAAGTCAAAATGTTGCAAGTAATCCGCGGATGCCCAATCGTATGCAATTTTCCTGCACAGAGTGGTCTTACCATAACCGGGATGTCCTGTCACCAAAATAGTTTGATGGTCGTCGTCCTGATTAGAAAATATTTCTTTCAGATTTACTTTATCTCCTCTTTCCTTTCCGAATAAATCTGCCTTTTGTATTGTCAAGTCTACGAAGTAAACCTTTAATGAAAAGTCGTTTCTCATCCCTTCCCACAAGTAGGATCTCATGTAAGCGAAGTATGTCTTATACTTGTACTTCAATTTCTGGCTGCAATTGACGTACATTTCTATAAATAAAAAAGGAATATGTAAAAATTAGTGAAAAGTTTCAAGATAAATAATTTAAGAATTTTAAGGCACTGCCGACCACTGTTATGATAATTATATATGAATGTTATTGAAATTTTGACAATTAAAACCTGTTGAAAAAAGAAGAGGAATACGTAGCATTGGATTCATGGAAGGCGACCGTGCAACACATAAGCAACCTACTAATCAGGCTTCCTCCCGCGACCACCTTCTATAGAAAACTGGTCCATAGTTAATATACACACATGAATAAAGTATGAAAAACACTACTGGTCACTCCCTATGTTAAATAATTTTATTCAGTTAGGACAATCAAAATACTTTGAACAACGGACAGTATAAGATTTTGGAAATTTAGTGTTTAAAAACTAATTTTAAACTTCAGCCTTCACATAATATAAAAATAAAATTGAATTTTAAAATGTTTCCAATAATAATATTTAAAAATAATATTCATTTTCATACATTCTCTCACAGAGTAAGGAAATAAGACTACAATTAAAATGAATACTGGTTTAATTAATTACAGGTGTGAGACAGTGTGCACAGAGAGTGATGAAAATAGGATAATAGAACGAAAAAGATGTGCATTCCTCAGGAGTATTAGCAATGTCAAGGGAATCTGATGAATGGATGAGCGATTAATTTTTTGGTGTGACAAACTGGATTTAAAACTGGTTTCTCTTGAATAGATTTTTAAAATTTGGAAACTGAAATACTAGAATTAATGTGCATAAATTAAATAATTAAATAGTTAACATTTTGCAGTGGAGTGTTATCTATAGGAAAAATAGCAATTGCATGAGACTCCACCAACCGTCGGCTCCTAACCGATCTTTTATTAAAAAAACATTTCCCCAAAAATTTTCGAAAAAAAATGTTTTCAGTCAACATTGTACACGGTTCCCGAAATTCAAATTCGAGTAGACTATAATGCACCATTGCCTCGTATATCGTAACGATACTTTCAGTGGATTATAAGAGAATATCATTGGCAATGCAATGCTATTCTACGAATGTCAAGTTCCTTTAGTTATATTAAAGGTTTGGAAGTGTGTAATTAGTAACATATTCTACTGACGAAAAATTATATTAAATTCTCAGTTCTGTTATCTTAATCGTAAACTATGCAATACGCTTTATATAATAGATATTCATATAAATCTAGCCAAAATGAATGCACGTGGGAGAAATCTATTATATTGAAATATAAATATGAAAATATTTAATGACACATCAACCTTTTGATTCACTCAAACTTTCTGATTCTTGACTGTGTTTGGACTTCTATCTGAAGTAAATTTAAATTGGAAAAAATAATATAAAAACATGTTCTTTTGACACAATATAGTGCTATAAATTAAGACACTTGGCGGATTTTCTCATCTTTATTTAGTTGATACGCGTGGAAAAAATTACACGTTTCGGGCTCTTAAGCCCCTCTTCAATCAACTAAAACATTTAAAAAGGATATAACATACACATAAAAAAGGAATACACAAGTTTTGTAAAATTCTTAAAAAATAAAACATACCTATCCATATACATACCTATCTAAATGGTAAATAAGTTTTTGTGTTTGATATTTTACATTTTAATTAATATCTTAGTATTAAATTACACTTTTTTTCCTTCTTAATCAAAAACTGTTCTCACCGTTAGTTTTTCTGAAATATTTCCATTATTTTAATTATTTCTAAATCATTGGTCATAGTCTGACATGGGTCTGGACAGAAAAAAAGACGTTTTACTGTATTTGAAAGAAAAACATACGTAATTCAGATAATGTTGATAAAATATGAATCATCATTTTCTAAATTCATGAAATTTAAACTTACATGGTTATTATAACCCTAAAATTAGGTCCTATTTTATGTTATCGCGCAGATAACCATACTCAGTTTTACTCATTATAGACTGATAACACTTATACTTTTGACGTTTTACCTGTTTTCATTTTTGTCTCCTCGCTTTGTGAGATTTTAAGCCCTACACATCGTTTCTTCGTCCAGGCCCACAATGACGGCGACCGGATGGAGATAATCAGGGCCCGACATATCCAGATAGACCACCTCAAAAATTTTTCGGCGGTTGTTTCTCTGGAGAGAGGTTTTTTTGTCCTTCAGTAGTCCTCCGGTATGAATAGCATTTGTCGAAAGCTGGCCTGGAAACCATTATTGTGAAATCTTTAAGAGTTGTATACACTAAAGGGCTGTGGAATTCATTTGTGCTGATGAAAATTAACTGTTTACCAGGATCCCGAGAAATCCCGGGATATAATTAATTATTTTTAATATATAAAATAAATCTTAAAATCGAATGATATAATT